TTCTGATTCTGATTCTGATCAATAAACACGAGTGTCCCACTTCCACTGGTAGCCATGCATGCCCAAGCCTTACCCTGGCTCCACCTTGTTTTACAGATGATGTGGTATGCCTTAGATCATGAGCTGTTCCATGTCTCCATACTTTTTTCCTTTTGGTAGAAGTTGATCTTGATTTCATCTTTCCAAAGAATGTTTTTCCACAACTGTGCTGGCTTTTTTTTTTTTTTTTTAAATTATGAGTGGCTTGCGCTTTGCAGTGAACCCTCTGTTTTTACTTTGTTGGAGTCTTCTCTTTATGGTAGGTGGATATTGGTTGCCTACCTCCTGGAGAGTGTTGTTCACTTGGTTGACTGTTATAAAGGGGTTTCTCGTCACCATGGAAATTATTCTGCAATCATGCACAACTGTTGTCTTCTGTGGACATTCAGGTCTTTTTGCATTCACCAATACTTTCTTTCTTTTTTTTTCAGGATGTACCAAAGGGTAGATTTTGCCACTCCCACTATTGTAGCAAATTCTCAAATGTTACTCAAAGAGTATTATACAGAATAGACACTTGTATTAAGTTATAACAAACACAAGTTTAGAGAACAATGTTTAGAACACAGATAAAAAACAAAACACACATAAACTTAACATCAGTACCTGCTTATATAATGAGTCAACAGAAAGTTAATATTAATAACCAACGGCAATGACAACATGCTGCTTTCTAGTTTTCACAGTAAGAGACACATAAAAACGACATAACACTGAAATACAGTACAGGAAATTTTTTTAAGGGAATTGCCAGTTAAAATTTAAATTTTCTTTGCAGCACAATTCAACCAAAAATAAAAACACTACATGTAAATGTACACAAAAGAAATTTCCTTCATGAAACTAAATGAATTCTACCACAATTACTGATTTGATTTACAGCCTAAAGGGCCTGTAATTTGAACTCAGTGGTTCTTCTTAAATAATAATGTATAAAATGTGCTTGATTTTCTGTAGCTTTTAACAGTTTGTGTTTACACTGGAGTGAATGATGAAATAACTGCACCTTAATTACTTTAATACAGACAAGCGCACTGGAGTTCTTAGGTTCGATCTTTTTGGCCATAGGGTAAATATGCTGCTTCATCCAAAGAGCTATGATTTCCGAAAACAATAATTTCAGTCTTGTTTTCATTTAGGGTTTAACTGTCATGTAGACAGATAAACAGAGGCTGCAGTGTGACAGAGGCATCCCATTTCATCAGGAAGTAAATTTGGATATCAATAGCATAACAGTGAGAGGGAATATTATATTTCCTGAAAATCGTTCCCAAAGGCAGCATGTGTAAAGATAACATAGCGGACCACAACAGACCCCTGTGGTACATCACAACTAATAGGGACAGAAGAAGAGGAGTACTCCTCAGTTGCAACAGAAAAAGACCTCTCTGACAGGATTTAAACTGTAATAAAACTGTACCTTTAAAACCAACAGCATGTTTGTGTCTTGATAAAAGAATGTTATAATCAACTGTGTCAAAGGCAGCGGTTAGACTGAAATTCTCCACAAATCCCAGAAAGTTCTCACAAAGTGCAGAGGATGTTCACATGAACAGCACCACAGGGGTTAAACAAAAAATTCAAAATATTAAAAAGAACTCGGGGCTGGTGACTGTTGCTAGGAATGATGTTTGACAGAAAAGCTGATTTAATAGCTTTAACAGTCAAGTGATATATTGATGAGTATTATATCAAAGGTCAGCTTAGAGTTATTGCTTTTGTTAATCAAGGGCTTTCCAGAAGTCAAATCTAGTATCCAGCCTGAATTGGTGTTCCTCATTTCAAAATGCTCGGTTACATTGAGTGCCGGTTTAGATCACTGGGATGAGCTCTCAGCCATATGGCCATGTGACTGGGATCATACCTTTATGTGAAAGAATGAAGGGGGCAGACATTTCAAACACAGCATTTATAGTTGTACAGGCCAGGTGCACAGAAATACAGGGGAGTTGGATTTAAATGAAAAGTTAGGAAAAAAATGAAAAACCAAGCGAAAATGTTAAATGAGAAACATCTGGCTGCATCTCAAACATATTGGAGAACTGCAAAGCTGAGTGCAGAATTTATAGCATAAGGAGCTGGCTAAAGTGATGCCGGTTTTTATTTTGAAAACTAAAAGCTAACACTAACCTTGTTTCAGAGAACAAACATGGCTTACCCACAATTTCTTCATTGTCTTATCCTGAAATAAAGGATAAACAAAGATCTGATCCAACTATCAGAGAAGTCATAGCACAGATTGTACTGGAAGAAACACCTCACCCCACCTCCAGCAAAGAGCTCCCTGATTTCCCATTTTTGCTGTGGGAGTTAAATCGCTTAGAACTACACAACAAGGTAAAATACAGAATAAGGCAAGATGCAGGACCAAGTGACCTATCAATTGGCTCTCCCTGAAGAGCTCAGAGCCTTAGTGGTTCACAATTTGCACATGGACCAACTGGGTATTCCCAGAACCCTTTTTAGAACTAGGTTTTATTGGCCGCTGAAGAAAGAGTCCTCTTGAAGAAGCAGCTGCTCTGGTAAACATTAAACTTCTCAACCATTAGAACTTGTCCATATGAACTTTCTCAATCTAGAACCAGACAGCAGTAACCCAAAGAACATCCTTGTAATGACACATCATTTCACTAAATATGCAGTTACC